GGGGGCGCGCGCGCGCCGCGGGCGCGCCGCCCTACCGGAAGTCGTCTGGCGCTCCCCGGGATTCAGCCCGCCCGGCAACGACTCCGCCAATGGGAAGCGCCGCCGCCCAGCCAATGAGAAGCGCGCCCAGCCGGACCCCGGCTCTCCTCCAATGAGCTCTCTTCTCAGCAGCCCGCCCCGCCCCGCGATCCTATATAAGCGCCTCCCAGCTCCGGGGACTTCCGGGGCCCCGGCAGGTGTTGCCGAGTGGGCGAGTGTCTGGCGTTGGCCAATTTAATATTAAGCCTAGCAGTGAGGTGAAATGCACGTCACAGCCTGGCTGGAAATCTGCTCTGCAAACCGTGGAATCCCTAAACCATCAGCCTGTAGTTGGCTGAAAGGTTAAGCTAGGATTGATACATAAAGAATTTAAATTAAAACGCAGACATTGTGGGGCCTGTCTTCTTTACGTAGCTTGTGAAGGGCGTCTTCTGGATTCGAAAGCGCTGCTATGAAGCACGGGAATTAAATCTACTCACAAAAGATTTCACGAAATGTCTTACTCATTGTTTAAGTTGGGTATCTGAGGGGAAATTGTAAATGATTTTCTGGATAATTTGCAATCTCTATTACATGCATTTTAACAGAAACATGAGCTATTCTCGTTTGTGTTTATGTTTATAGATGCATTTGTATTTTTGTACAAAGCAGTTTCCTTTTCAGATTCATCAAATACAAGCCTAGACCTTTCAAGTACAGAAACAGTTCAAAAAGCTAAAAGCTAGTCATGAGGATCATAGATTCTAGAGAGGTGATAGGTTTATGTCCACACAACTGATGTCATTAAATAAAATGCTCCGTAATTTGAAAACAGAAAGAAAAAAGTCTAGAGTGCACATAAAAGCAGAAATAGGTTAAAAGCCAAAGCATGGAAAATTTTACTTTGCTCGCCTAACTACAAGAAAAAAGGCTGGTCACGGGCGTGCTGGGGCGGAGGGCAGGCCTGGGCCGCAGAGCAAGGGTGGGCGCCGCAGCCCCGGGGGCCCTCCCCTGGGTGTGCCCCCCGCAAGCCCCCCATGTACCCCCATCCCTCCCCTGGGTGTG